AAAAATTTAATTTTTAGAAGGTCCCATTCATCTAGTTTCTCTTCTGCTGTTTGTTTATTTTGGATTATGTGTGATGGTCTGTTCATGCCAAGGCCATAAATCCTTACTGAAGCAGAATGACACATCTTTCTCCCACAGAGTGGTGGGACATTTTAACTGTTGAGCTTTGGTTAGTAATCAAGCACCTAATCACTGTTAGGCCAATGAAAGGGCCTAGAAGCAGTGTTCCCTCTGTAGCAACCCTTAGAAACCAGATTTGGTCTCTAACACAATTACCCATTGGAAAGACAGATTCTTGGAGAAGTGAGAGATGCCAGGTCTGAAATAGGGGGAAAGTTACAAAGTAAGAATATCTAGTTATGATAGAAAGCAAGAGTGCTTTCAAAAATAAATAAGTAGTAACAAAAGGACAAAGAACTATTGTGAAGGTCCTCCACTGTCCAAAATTGTGACAATGTGAACATCAACCAGAATGACTACAGGAACAGAAAGACATTCAATTAATGAAAATCCATGAGTTTGGACTTCCAATAAGATAAAGGAAAAGGCAGACAAGTGACATAGACCCTCTTCAACAAAGAAAAGAAAAATCAATCGACAGAGATACACAAGATAATTCTGGAGCCCTGAGCTTTGAAAGGAATTATACAGAAGTGGATTAGGCACCAACTAGTGGAAAAACCTGAACAAAAACAGTGAGTACAAAGACAGTTGGAGCTGTGGACTGTCAGCTACTCTGACGGGACCAACAGCCTGAATATTTCCAAGTGTTGTTGGGACCTGAGATATGACCTAAAGATCAACCCTGGTCACCAAGGGCTGCAGGGACAACTGCATAGGTGGCTTATGACTCAGAAGGGGAACAGCAAGGAGGGAGACAACCTGAGTTGTTGACTTTCCATTGTCCAGAGGGTGCAACCATTTTGGATATTTAAAGTGACCGAGGGCACAGTCATTTTTAATGCTTACAAGCGGTGGCCACTTTGGATATTTAAAATGACCGAGGGCACAGCCATTTGGAATCTTTACAAGTGGCAACCATTTTGGATTTTAAAGTGATAGCATTCTCATTCAGATTCCAGGGACCTAAGAACAGGCTCTGTTTGCCAAGGTTGGCGGGGACATATAGAGGCTGACAACATGAGAGGAGACAGGTGGTGAATGTATAAGTGCTGTCACTAGCGAACAGAGAAGCACAGTATCCTGCTTGCATAGATACCATACAAAGAAAACAAAAACACGGGCAAGTCACTCCAACATACAATCACCAAT